TGAGCTTTGCGATATATATATATATATATAAAGAATATGATTTCTGTAAATAAATTCAATTTGACTATCAAGCCCTATGAAAAATGACATGAGATAATGAGTTTGGTACACCTCACAACACAGGTTATGTGAGGTGAGCTTCAAAGGTCATCAGTGAGCCCAGCCTACCCTTTCTAGCAAATTGAGTTTGCTATGAAGTTTAAAAAATGTATTTTGACTTTTCAAATGTTTATGGTCAAATTTAACCTCTGTTTGATTTTGGGCATCAGAAAATTTTTCAGGTGTTAATAGTGATTGTCCATAAATTATCTTTACAATTTAAAAGATTCATAAAAATGAAAAAAATGAAGATAACTCTACAGGGTTTATTGGAAAACATAGGTAAACAAATAAAGTTTTATGTAAGCACATCAGAACACTTTAATTTCTGCAAGACGCTTTCTGTTTCCATAAACTTCTTGTACCTGGCATGGATGCTGATACAACTTGTTTTTTTTTCTGCTTTGTACTGTAATTCTGTGGGACTGATTTGGACCCTATGATGCAGGGTACACACTGCACTTATTCTTGCAGTGTTGTCATTTTTATAAAAAATCTGGAATTAAAAAAAAACACTTTTTAATGAAATGAAGTGAAATAAAATGAAAGTGAATAATAAAAAAGAACAGACTATATATAAATTAAAACTTTAATAATATTTCTTTAACATACAAAGAATTGTATTGATGGATATTAACTCTAATGAATGCAATAAACTGTTGAAGTTGTACAGATAATTTATGGTCACTGTGTTTTAAATAATATTTTTTATTTGGAATGTTGTGTAAGTGGAGAAAAGTAAAGAATATATTTTATGCTCTCTTATTATTTTTTAAGTTATTTTTTTCTGAGCAATATTAAGCAGGGTTACTTAAATATGTCATCATTTCTTACAGAATGATTAAATAAGTTTTGTTGATAATTTCAATATTTCTTTATAAATTTCATTTCATTCAATTGAATATTTAAAAAAAATAATCATTTCACCCACTGCAGAGGGTTACTGAGTGTTAGAGAATATGAGAAAAACTACTATTAAGGAGAGAGGACAATAAAAGAACAAGAATTAAGAAGACAAAAGATAATGATTGACACTTCATTTCAATTTTTGAATATTTTGTAAATTTTTGAAGATAGTTGTAAATTTTCAACCAGAATTTTGATGTATTCTGTAATTTCATTATTCCTCTTACTGTAATTAATTGTCCAGTCCCCCTTAAGCTAAAACAACCCCAAAATATGATTGAGCTGCCTCCATGTTTTAATGTTGCCACTGTGTTCTGTGGGAGGAAAGACTCGCCTTTCTTGCGCCAAATCTTCTGTACATCATTATGTCCAAAAAGCTCAATTTTTGTTTCATGTCTCCATAGTACTTGTTCCCAAAAGCAATTTTTTTGCCCAAAAAAGATTTGTCAAAATTGAACCGAGCAAAAATGTGATATGGTTTGTGAAGAGGGGTTCGTTGTGGTCAGTTTCCATGCAACCCATTTCTATTTAAGCAACATTGCATTGTACGAGTACTTATGCTGATACCCATTGTATCCAAATTTGGTGATGTCTTTCAAAACAGCTCTTGGGTTTATATTAAACTTGCAACACAGTTTTTGCACAGTTTTTGGTGATAATTTGGGTTTTCTTCCATGCCCAAGCAAATTCTCTGTTGTACCAAACTGTTTAAACTTCTTTATAACGGACAGGAATAGCTAACTGGTTTGAAATAGTGCTGTAACTATTTCCCAACTTGTGGAAGTTAATAATTTTCTGGCTCAAGTCCATGGTAAGCTCCTTTGTTTTCCCTACCATGTTGTTAATGTATGGATAACAATGGTGACACTCTATGCAGCACGTGATGTTCTTTGCTAGAATTATCACAAATATTCTACTGAATAAATAGTCTAGAAGGCATCACTGATAAAATAATTATGTAAATTACTTTTACTTACACAAATCGATCAAATTAAAACAATATTTTCTACTGTATGAATAATTTTTTCTTTTCCTATTTTGCATAATTTGCCTGTCAAATTTGTTGTATTTAACCTCTTGTTCTGAAAATTGAGTTTTATATTCCTTTTTCTGTGATTATTAACATATAAAAAAACCTGGCATCATATGGGCATTAAATTCTGAGAAATGGATAAAATTATTCAAAATTGACGGGTGTACGAATAATTGTCATTAACTATAGCTACTTCAACTGTAAAATGATGAGACCTTGTTCATAAACTTATGCCAGTTCTTCCCACCATAAATTTGTTGTTATTATATGTATTATTTATTGTTTCTTTTATATGAGCAATTTAATACTTGCAGGGGATTATCCAACCATTTAGTTCCTTTGATATGCCGCTTACCATTAAAGTGAAGGAACTTGAAGAATTAAAAACACCAGTACAGTTCCAAATTTTTGGAAATCCAAATCCAATCACAGTAAGTTTTAAATAAAAGGAATCCTTAATCAATAATCTATGCTCAGTTCAAAATTTTAAATAAGTTTCGCAAAAAAATTAATCATATTGACTACTTCTTTTTCTTCTATTGTGGATGATCATGACTCTCCACAATTTCCTCTCCTTTGTAGTTCTTAGTAAAGTTTGTCCTTTTACTAATTACACACGCTTGCTAGCTAGGTTATTTGTGTCATTTTCCTCTGTTCCTCTTACCTTCAACATGCCCTTATGAGTGTTAAATTTTCTAAGTTCTTTCCTCTAGTATATATTTCTGAGATGAGGTATTATGTATACTATTTACATTATTCAGACTATTGTTCTCATCTTTGTTGCCATATTTATCACAACGTTTCAACCGTTGTACGCTTGGGCCTTATTTATTTCTTCTTTCCTCATTATGTCCTCTGGAAATTCCAGTTGTCTCTCTCTTATTCTAAGTATTCAAAGTGTCCTTTGTGTTTCCATTTTCCTTAAAACATTGCTTACATGTTCAGTCCATTGTATTGTCAGCATCCTTCTGTAGAACCACATTTCAATTGCTTCAAGTCACTTCTTCATCTGTTAGGAGATTGTCCAACATCCATTGCCATACAGGAAGACTGATATCACATAGAACTTCAGTACTCTTTTCTTTGTTTGTAATGAAATTTTCCTATTTCTTAATACTTTGCTTAGCTTTTAGAAGGCATCTTTTTCTATCCCAATGTGCCTTTGGATTTTGGTATTGCATTTTCTATCTTCTGTTAAAATGCTTCAATTTTTGTATTTGCTTAATTTTGATCTCTCCAACTTGTAGTTCACATCTTGGGTTGTTCTTTTTGCTGGCAACCAAACATTCTGCCCTTATAATTGATATCTTGTACTTTTTTAATAACAATAATAAAAAAAAATGTTCTCATATATTTGATGATAATTTTATACTTTTATTTTCTTATTTATTATTTCTAAAGTAATAATAATAATATGATACATTTAATGATAAACTGTTTACTCCAACATCCAGTGTAAAGTATATATGTGTGTTTATGTGTGTATAGTTTTACGTGTGTACCTCTGATGCTTGCTCCTTGTCCTAGTGGAGTGGGCTTGTAGGGTCCATTGAGTTTGAGAGCAATACCATTGGGCATTCTAAACTCCTTGTAGGTTCAACTTTGGCAGCAAGGCCAAAGACTGAGTGCAACCAACCTCAAAGACCCTAATGGTAGAACAGGCAGATGACGATTATAACAGATCTCAACAGTTGAACCAGTGGATAAAGAGGGCTAGACATGACGGACATACTACAGAAGTCACCACTTGAAATTATAGCAGTCAACAGCAGTCTGTTGCAGTTTCATAACTGGATTCTCCCCGTGTCGTTCCTTCTGTTTCGCAGAGGAAGGTCATAAAATCAAGTGCATGAGTTACTTTCTGGCAAGTTGTGGTTCATCTTAAACAAATTCATGCCATTGGAATTTTCTTCTACTCTGATTTTCTTTCACCTCCAACCAACTCTTGCAAAGCCAAATGGTGATAGGGAATGGATGACGAGAAGATGTTTTGGTGAAACTGGAAGCTTCTAGTCCTGAACCTGCACATTGGCAGTGAATGTAGTCATCAACACTATTATCATAAAAGAAGCAATCAGCAAAATGAAATTAAATTCTTGGATAAGAGATAAAGACACTGATGACTCTTTTCTTGCTTTCCTTTATTACCATCTGTAGTTTTTCGTTTCTGTTTCCACTATCAACACTGTGTCATCTGTATATCTCTAATTCTCTCACTATTGCTAGACATGAATAATCATTCTCATTTCCTTAATTGTAATAACAGTCCAACTGTTCTTTTTCTTCTTTTATATGCTGTGTCCCTTCAAGACATGGTTGATTATGACTCTTCTTGCCTCTGGTAACTCTAAACAATGTTTGATTCTTTAGTATCTGTTTTTGTCTCTACTGTGATATTCATTCACACAAACTCATTAGCTAGTTTACTTGCTGTTTTCTTCTGCCCTTCAACATATCCTTCCTGTCAGTGTCAAATTTTCCAAGCTCTTTTTCCTCATAACATGTCCAAGAAATTTCAACTGTTTCTGATCTTAAGTATGAACTGATATTAAAAGTGGAATTAACACGCCGAGTCCTTCATAATCTTTTGCATTGACTTTACACTTAAACCCATTTTTACTCTGATATATCTGCTTGTGAGCATTTTGACAAGTTTTTCAGTATCCTCTCCCATGATTCTCATTTCTCTTTAAAGAATATATTATCATTATTATTATTTGAATGATTCATTTTCTATGGCTTATCAACCCTTTGCTTGTTATTTAAAGCCAGAAAAATTTTTAGACTGTAAGAATTTTTTTTTGAGATAATGGTTTAGTGATACAAGTCTTACTAATTAACTCATAGCAGGGGGAAGAAGACATGGATTGCATGTAAGGGAACATAACGAACCCAGCAGGAATTGGAACTTGGCTCTCCAATTACCTTTACATTATCTATTACACCACCCATACATCCAAGTTTACAGCACCTGATATTCCCAAAGAGTCACCCATCTAGGTACTGACCAGGCTTGACAATACTTAACTTTAGTGATTTATGGGAACCAGTGTTTCAGTGTGATATGGCTGTAAGCTATTATTATTATTATTATTATTATTATTATTATTATTATTATTATTATTATTATTATTATTATTATAACTGGTGCTGAAAAGTTTTTAGTTTAAACCATTTCTCAAAATCTGATCAAATATCACAATTATTTTAGAAGGATTTCTTAATCAAGCTAAGAACTTTTCAGCACCCCCTTACACAATAAAGAATTTATTTGCATTAGTATAATAAAGAATTTACTAATGTTACACCATATCTGATTTTATTATGCAAATCAATATTTTCACAATGAAATGGGTGTCATCCAAGTGATGTTGATAAAATTTTCAGGATGTGTTTATATGAGGAATATATTGTTCAAGTGTTGACTGCAGCAGCAGAGAATAGATAAAATTGATTCGTTGATTCTGATTTAGCTCAATTGTCAGTCTCATTATATACATATGCTAGCAAAACAAAGAAATCTGCTTCGAAAGTGCTGCTTGGCTTCTGATTGGTCCACAATCAGTGACTTTATATCTTGGTTGGGAACAGATCTTGTCTCTGATTGACTCACTAGACTGATGTTAATATCCTGGTCAGGATACTTTCTGATTGGTTAGTCAAAATATGACTTCATAGCCTATCAATTCTGAATATACATCTATTTTTAGAAATGGTGAAATTTTGATCTTGTTATTAATTATTTTTATTTGTTTTTCCATGACTACACCATCACTCAATAAATTTGTAATATCTTTTTTTTTTCTCTGAGGTTACATCTTTCTTATGACCCATTACATTCTTCAGATATCTAAAATTAAATAAATATATGTAACTATTCTATTTTATATATTTATTTATGATATGTTAACACAAGTTATGTGATAAGATCTCACAACACCAAATAAATCAGTTTTAGTATTTCTAATGAAAAACAGATAAGCTGAAATTCACACGTGGTGAATTTGCTAGCCCTATACCCAACTAACTGACTTTGGTTTCAGAGTTTTCCTTCTTCTTGATTGGTTACCAACCAAAGCTAGAGAGCCTAGTCTACCCTGCTATTAACCTAGTGTTTCTCAATTGATGTTCCATGGAACTCTAGGATTTTGCAAGAAGTTACTAGGGGCTCCACAAGAAACAGTGACAAATAGGCTAATGCATTTTTGAGTCATTTTTGTTTTATTTTATATTTGTAATTTTTTATATATATATATATATATATATATATATATATATATATATAATATTGTTGGAAACTCCTTGGTTATTATAATAAAGACATAAGCTTCTTATATTATTTAAAATTCTAATAATCATAGGGAATGTATTTAGCAATGTATGTATTGCATCATTGGTTAGTGGACCAGGACCTGTATGTGGCAGATTCTTGTATCACTGAGTAACTCACTCAAGTACAGGACACATGAACAATGTCCATATATTACATTCATCATGTGAACTACAATAAAAATATAAAAGTGATAGATATTAATAATGGCATATAATAATTTTTTATGTAGAATTTCCCTGAGGCATGAAAACTATTTCAAGGTTTTCACAAGGGTAAAAAGGTTGAGAAATGCTTAATTAATCGCTAGCTGTGTGGAGAAGAGAATGCATTCATTCCTTTCCAAGGGTATCGGTGTTATAGCAAACACAATGACTGTGGCTTGGAAAACATTGTAGTAGGCATCTGTTTCTCTTGTGATAAAGTTTGGTCAAATTCAGGTGATGAGAATGGAGTGATCTCTCCAGTGTGCAGGCCTGAGCCAAAGGAATTTGAAGTCAACTTGGCTGAAGGAGTTGTAGGAAGTTTGTCAGTGTTGACAATCAACTCCCTTTATGGCTCCCATCTGGATTTTCTCTCTGGCGTTTTTTCATTAGCTTTTTCTGTGTTTGGATGTGGCTGCATGGCAGTACAGGTTTAAAATCATCACTTTTCCTTGCCCTAGATCAGGAGTTGTCAAACTTTTCAGACTAGAGACACCCTTTTGTTTCTCTTCCTTCCCCAGTAGACCCACCCCCCATCCATTTAAAAGCACTTTAAACCTTAAAACTCACCCTAATGTTGGCAATTAAAATGTTAACTAAAATGTATGAAAGGTTAAGAAATTTGGATCAGGTTCAAAATCCCCAACTCCATCATCAGGTTTAGAATCCCCCTCCACCCCAGAAAAAACACCCAATTAAAAAAGAGCAAGCAATGTTCAATGCAGTATTAAATAAGTCTCATCAAAATAAGTTAAAATCTACTTGGGTAGACATAATGAAGGCTTTTGATTCTGTTGATTGTCAAGCTGGGTGCCTTTCTTTTATCTACACTGAAGAATATAACATATATGAAAACTAACTAAAATTAAGCTCTCAGTGTCATTCACAGAGAGTCCAGTTTAATAGCAATAAATGATTGAAAAAGAATCCTGTTTAACTATATGACTCTCAGAATTCTCTCCTTATGAATTTATTTCTTTCGATTCCAACTTGATTTCTCATTGCTATTTGCTATTTTCAGGCAGAAATCTCCTGCTTTGGTGAAGGACCTGTCGTACATGTGACTCAACTTGAAGTTGACTGGGGTACCATCTCAGTCCTTGCTGATTCCAGTCGTGAAGTCACTTTATTAAATGAATCTCCCATTGTGGCTAATTTCACAGCTAATATGGTATGTAGCCGAATTGATGCCTGCCCTATTAATATTTGAGTGTGTGTGGGTGTGTGTGTGTTTGTGGTTACCTGTGATTGTGTGACAACCAAACATTCTGTTTTCTTACAATTGATGATTAGTCCTTTCTTCTTGCTTTCCTTTACTACCTTTAGGAGATCCTGTAGTTTTCCTTCTGTGTCTGCCACCAATACAATATGGGATGGTAGAATGAAAAGGTAATAGTCAGTGGCACCACCATATCTTGACATCATGTGAATGTCCAAACTTGTACAAATTGTGCTTCCACATCTGGTAATTCAGTGTGAACACTGGCTAGTTTGCTCATGATAAGTTGGTATGAATTATGAGAGCTTGGCCAGGGCAAATGGATAAGGCATTTTATATCTGAGAATTGTGAGGGACATTTGACATCCTTCAGTCTACATTCTCATGTGTGTACCAAGGATTCCTGATGCAAGATATTATCACTCACTATGGACAGTACAGTGGCTGACCACAGGCCCTTAATGACTATGACCAGAGATATCTGGTTAGCATTGTCTGCAGTATCAGACAAGCAACACTGGTTCAAATTCTATCCAAAACTGTTACAGAAGATACCAGATATAAAGATCTGTCTGAAAAGTAATGGGACTTGTGTCACAAACAATTTATTTCAATTCCAAGCAACAAACTACATGGTTTCCCCTTCATAGTAATCCCCCTCGAGTTTCATGCACTTTCCCATCCTTCCCTGCCATGCTTCTCTGCACTACTGGAAGGATTCTTCTTGGATGCCACTCAGCTCTGTCGTTACGGCCATCTTGATGGCCTCCATGCTTTCAAAATGGCTCTCCTTGATTATCTCCTTGAGCTTGGGGAAAAGAAAAAAAGTCACACAGAGCAAGATCCAATGAATAGGGAGGTTGTTTTGGTACAGTGATATCTTTCTTGGTCAGGAATTGCCGTCCTGCGACAACTCTCATCTCTTCTCATCCACTGAGGGAAGCAAATGCCACTGGATCTCTTTGTAGACTTTCTGATTGATCATCTGGCCCTGTGGTAAGAACTCACTATGGACGATGCCTCTTGCATTGAAGAACGGATAAGTCCCGTTATTTTTCAGATAGACCTGGTATATTCCATTGGTCAGTTCAGTATTCTTTAGTTCCACGGCATATGAGAACAGAACATCTACCAGGATGTTCTTGTTAACACCACAACACTGTCAGTTTTCATATCTTGCAAAACCAAAATGATGAAACTAATCCGCAAACAAGAAAACTCATTAAAAATCTAATAGACATTACTTTTAACTATTAACATTTTTGGAGGTTCTTCACATTAAAAGACAGTAGTCCACCATGAATAAAATTTGTTTTAATCTTAGTGTGCACTTTGAACAATAAAGTAATTTTTAGTCATATGACACTATTACACAACAATAGTATGTAAACTGATGTTCACCTCAGGCTCCATACCATTAACAACATATATGATCCACTTGCTAACTTTTATCTTCAATCCTTGAAATTGTCCATTGATTGTCAAGAGTGCTTGGCACATTACCCACAATTTCAGCAAGTTCATTTGATAGATTCAACCCTACATAAAAAAATTATTCAATGCCTGGTCAAACTCACCTAAAGCCTTAAGAGACATTTCTTGTCCATTCTATTTAATATATATATATATACATATATATATATATATATATATATATATAAATATAGTTTTAAGTTGTGCTATATTTATGGGATAAAGTGCTCAATATCAGAGATAGAGCATAAATAGAATAAATAAACATATAAAATAAACAATGAAAATAAAAAACAAGTGAAATAAATTAGCATAAATAAATAAATAAGCCACTCCCGCACAAATAACTGCCAGAATGGATTACCCACAATGTACTACTGTCCCATATATATAAATAGTCAAGAAAAAATCCAACACTTGCGGCCTGATGATTGCATCTAGCATGAAACAGCTTGTTGCCTCTGAATGTTGACTTCAATGTTCACTTATATATATATATATATATATATATATATATATATGAAGGGTATATGTTGCTGAGTGGTTAGAATGCTTACTTTTCAAATATGAGACCCGTTTTCAAATATCAGGATAGTCAATTTGTCAGGAAGGTGACTTCATGATGTTATTAGCCTGTGGAGGTGTGGCAAAACCATGCCATGAGTTGATCAAAGCCATGTGATTGAAATTGGTCAGACAGAGCTGTTTGGAACCTGTTGATGGTTGTGCTTGCACAAAGTTACAAGTCATTGTGACTGAGGGTTTACATGTACAGGTGTTGTTCTGTACTCTCACCAGACAATGTAACTAAGGTTCTTACTATATGCTGTGTCCTTTCAGGATGTAGG